ATAAATAATTATTATAAATAAAAATTAAATTAGATAATTATCCACGAAATTACTTACGAATACACGAATTTATCCGTGAATAGATAATTATTTTTTATTAATAATTTATTTTAAAAATAATAAAATTAATTTATAAGTAATTATGATAAATAAAAATTAAATTAGATAATTATCACGAAATTATGATAAATAAAAATTAAATTAGATAATTACCCACGAATTTATCTGTGGGTAATTGCTGACAGATAAATCCACGGGTAATTATTTTTTATTAATAATTTATGTTAAAATAATAAAATTAATTTATAAGTAATTATGATAAATATAAATTAAATTAGATAATTATCCACGGATGTATCGTGGGTAATTATTTTTTATTAATAATTTATGTTAAAATAATAAAATTAATTTATAAGTAATTATGATAAATATAAATTAAATTAGATAATTATCCACGGATGTATCGTGGGTAATTATTTTTTATTAATAATTTATGTTAAAAATAATAAAATTAATTTATAAGTAATAATGATAAATAAAAACTAAATTAGATAAAAAAATTTAAAAATATATAAAATTCTTATAGTTAAATAAAAGTCTCTAAAAACGCTATGGTACGAAAAAGACATTTGTGCTTTATATATAGAAGTTAATTATTCTTTGATTAGTTACTAATTTTATTTAATATATGTTTATACAAATTTTAAATATAATTTATTAATTTAACTATAATATTTTTTTATATATAATTTATTATAAATTTAAATTATAATAATGTAACTTGTGAAATACACAAACTAAAATATTAATATTTTTTAATTTAGATAAAAATTATAGTATTATATTATATTGTAATTTGTTAAATATATTTTAATGGTATTGATCCAAAGATTGTACAAGTATAAGATTGTATAGTTGAAGATGACTTAAAGAAATTAATTTGTACTATTTATACCAATGGATGCATCTACTCTTTGGTAGCTTATTTCTTAAGAACTTCCTAGTTAAGCGTGCTTGATATGGGGTAATTTAGGGATGGGTGACCTTCTGGGATGTTTTCCAGAAAAATGTGCAAGTGACGACAAGGCATACTGAAAAGTCTTGTGTTAATTTGTGGGATTTGTGGGGGTCAATCTTTGATCCTAAAAGCATATAAATATCTCAAAAAGGGTTACCCATGAAGAACTCTAATTGATGAAGGATTCTGACCAATGAGGAGTTGCGTGAAATGCCATGGGGTGGAGCTGCTAAAAAGGTCAAATATGAGGGATGGTTACACTAAATAAGGATGTTATTTAATATAATTTTGAAATAAAGTGGAGCTGCTGAAAGGTCAAATATGAGGGATGGTTGCACTAAATAAGGATGTTATTTAATATAATTTTGAAATAATTTTTTAAAAATATTATCAACAATACCCACGGATTTTATCCGTGGATAATTCCATCGGAAAGTTACCCACGGATTATAATCTGTCGACAAATGTTTCAGACGAGCAATTTTCTGACGAATTATTGTCTGTCTGTAATCCGTTGGAAATGAAGTGTTACCCACGAATTTTTTGCATTACCCACAGATTTTGATTGTCTATAATTATTTGCATTCCTATATAGGATGCAGAAAATATAAGATAATGTTTGTCAATATAATTAAAAAATAAAACTTTTTTTATGGAGTTTCATATAATTCTTGTGTATATATATATAATATATTAATATATATTATTAAATACAAGTTAACTTTATCATCGATTAAGTATTTATATAATAATATTACATTAGAGTAGTATTATCAAAATAGGTTATTTTTAGCATGACTATCCACTAACAATCAAGTTATCTTAACTATTAAATATAATCATTGTAGTTTAACAACAAAAAAGAAAAAGGGTAAATTTATGAAAAAAATTAATATAACAAGTAGTGAAATCATGATTAAAGCATCATAAATAACTTAAAACATCAAGTCACTACTAGCATATATCATGCATTTCATTCTTAACAATATTCTCAACATATATAACTTTAATCACAACTTAAACAATATTTAACAATCAATATATTGTCATAAATATCAACTTATGGAAATCTCTTACAACTGAGGTGAGCAATTTAAGTAATTTAATCCTACCAAATCATTACGTCTAACCTATCACAACAAAGTCAAGTAGATACAATTTTAAATCATTTAAGCACTTATTTAACAACTTAAATTAATTTATCAAGTTTCGCCACTTAAATTAGAAAATTCTAATACCTATTAGGATGGAACAACTTGGGTGTAAGTCTCTTACAATCTTAGCATACATATCTAAGCTTCACATGGAATTAGTCTATTAACTACTGGTCAAATACTATACACCTTTCTAATAATTAGTTAAGGATTTTAACCATTGAATTTATACCTTACTCATCATTGATTGCTTATGACATGTATGACTCAACCCGATCCCATACAATTCTACATTGGTCGCTTTATAATCAACATGACTCAACTTGACTCCCATGTTATTTTCACATAAAACCTAGAAGAGACAACTTAAAAACAACTACCTATTCAAGAGGCAACTATCTCATTTAAAGGTTCTCAATTTTGGACTCTTAGAGCACCACAACATTATCCATGCAATGGAATATTTTAGCTTCTAAAACAACTTTCACTCTCATTTAGAATTTATGTATCTCAACTTAACATGCATCTCATCTCTACATGTTTATATAGCTGAACATCTTTAATCAACTTTCATTCTCAAGCAAGTTAAACATGATTATACATCATCATATATCAATGTATAATGAACTAGATTCATACAACAACATAAATCATGTGAATAATCAATTTACTAAACAAATGTTCAACACTTAGTCAAATACACAAGTTTTCATTCAATAACTCATGTATGGCGCCATTCTCAAAACGTTCAGCATCATTAAGGCAAAGAGTCTCTAGCTCACCCACGTTTAACGCCAATCCACTTGAGTCCAACAAGGGTGAAGTAGAGAACCTCTATGTCAATCACACTTGGAGTGACTAGATCCAAGTAGAGAGCCCCTGACTAACATACGCCTGAAGCCACAAAATGAATGTCAGGCATCATTCAAACCAAGAGTCTCTGTCTTGATCATGCTTGGTGCCACTCATCTTAGGTCTGACATCACCAAGTCAGAGAGCTCCTCAAGCAATCACATTGGTGCCTCTCATCACATGATCAATGTGACCAAGTCAAACAACTCCTCATTGACTGACATTCGATGTTACCAATCTTATGTCTAACGTCGTCAAGGCAAAAGGCCTTTAACTTGAGTTATGCCCAACATCATGAAGGCACACTTGGCCCCATAAAGATTTTCGCACTTGGAAAAAATCTCAAATTTTCTCAAAACCAACAAGAAACTCATAATAACCGACATGCATCCATCCATTCAACATGTAAACACCATAATTGATCCAATTCTATCAAGAATAGAAACATGCAACCATATACAAACATGAACCATCCATTTCTACTTTACATATTCAAGAATAACCAAACTCAAAACCAAATAGCTTCAATTCTCTTGAATTCAACTAATCTTCATAAGCAAATGAACAATTCTAAGCATAATCAACAACTACAATACAACATTCATCAATCCACAAACTCTCCTTACCTCGAAACACTCATAAATCAAAGAGAAGGGAAGAAAAATTGAAAGTCATCGAGGTCGTCATATGACTCTCTCCACTTGAGATTTTCAACCTCTAAGTCTTGAATCTTCAATATTTTGACTCAACTCAACTATTGGAAAAGGGCCTAATGCTTTAGGGAATTCAGAAAAAGGAAGAAGTTTTCTTGGCTCCAAAGCTCCTCTGTGCAACTTCTCTTTAAGTTTTCTTAAGATATAAACTTATGAAGTTTATGTCGTAAGAAAATTTTGTATACCTTTTTCTAAATTTTGTCAACTAGACCCTAACTAAAACTACCACAATAACAACTTAACTCTTTAAGATCTTTTGACCCTTAAAATTCTAAAACAATAATAATTACAATAATTAATCAACAGATATCATATAATTAATGAATAAAACTCAAAATCATAGTGTTATATATACAATACTTGAAGAAGAGCTCAACACTGTATTATTGAGGCTTAAATTTATTTTTGCTCCTTATAATTTTGTGAATGTATAATTTTAGTCCCTCATAATTTTTTATTGTAAGTTTGATCACATAACTTTTAAAATAAAAAAATATTAGTTTACTCATTAACATATTATCTAAAATTAAATATAAAATGTTGATGTGTATGTAAATAATACTACTAGGTAATTAATTAAACACAAAAAATAATAATATTAGAAATTTAAAATTTTATTTTAATAGGTTATAGATTTTAATTGAAATAAAAAAAATATAACATATACATAATAAAAAGTAATATTATTCTTTATATAGAGGTGAACATAATTAAGTAACTACTCGACATTTTCATTCATAAACACGTTATTTTTTTAAAAAAAAAATTGATGACATGAGAATAAGTTGACTAATATTATTTGATTTTAAAAATTAAAGGGTTCAAATTTGTAATAATTTTCTTAAAAATCAGAATTACATGATGGCAAAACTATAAAAGACCAAAAATGAACCTTTTATTAAAATCAGTAATACACAATTGCTACCCCTTATCCAAAGTTTTATATTTAAATTTTGTATATAAAACAATGTGATTAAAAAAATAATCTCTCTAATAATATTTTGTATCGATAGTACAGTTAAGAAAAAACAAAATAGATTTTACAGTTAAAAAAAAACAAAATAGATTTTAAAATTGAATTATTCGGGTTAAATCAGCATCGGTGTGTGATGTCTGTCTGATGAAACCGCTTTCGTTTCTATTTTGAAGAGTTGAGTGATGTCTTGCTAGTTGCTACTCTTCCTTCTTTCTTCATTCTCTTCTCCAAACATTCACATATTAACGTTTGATACCTCTGATTTGAAACTTCACCCATTTTCCTAAACCCTCAATTAAGCCACCAATTAGGAGAGGCAGTTTTCTCACATCAGAGAGAAATCTTTGTACCAGGTGTGAGGTTCTTCTTTACCTGATTCATCCCTGCTTCTTCCAATTTTTCCTGCATGTTTTGATTTTGTGATTTTACATTGCCTTTTCTTCTTCTAGTCTATGATTTATTCCAAAGTTTCCTTCTTCTTCTTTTTTTTTTTTTTTTTTTTTTTTTTTTTTTTAATTTAGTTTCTTGTTTTGGTCGATTTCATATACCCAGTCTCATAGTGTGCTGTGAATCTTTCAGATTTTTGGCTGGAAGTTGAATCAGTTATCAAAAATTGAAACTTAACAATTACCCATTTTCTGAAATGATGTTTTTTTAAAAAGGGTTGGCATACTTATTTCTGATAAAAAAAAATTTTGAAATAGAGAGTAAGTAATGAAACAGATTATGGAATTAATCATGTCACGAATCACGATGAATCAATGGGAGTTTTGTGAAACCCTGGAATCTGGAAAGTAGGAATTGTCTGCTATTTATTTGGATGCATTATAACTTCGGGATATGCTTGTCTTGGACTGAAAATTTCATAGGAGATGTGAGGCCATTCCACCCTTGTGAAGTCCACCTACATATACTGTTTGAAAAAGAAGAATTGATCATAAATTGTTAACTCCCCCAAAAGGACTTTAGAACAAATAAGATATGAACTTCATCCTGTTGTAGCACTTCATACATGAGATTTGGTGCTCAAAGTAATGTACGAAAGCTTTAGTTAACTGTGATTGAACTGTATTAATGTACTAGACAAGTTGATTTTTATTTTTATTTTTTGTTTTGGAAGAATTTTTGGTTATAGTAATCTTATTGGAAAGCAGGATAGTTCATCATTTTCTTATAGAAATGAAACTGAATATGTAGCTAACTCAGCTAACAGATTGCCTTATACTTATATCTGTCTTTTTAATCTTTGGACCAATAAAAGTCTGGTATATTTGACATTTTGAAATACATTGTCAGATGGTTCATTATTATCAACCTAATTCAATGGACTGATTCTAAAATTTACACATATCGATGTATTGTGTGTTTCATGATAATAACTAAGTTTTTCTACTTTCTATATCTTTACGTTAAGAAGTTGTAACAATTACCGTTTCATTTTGTTTGGTGGTAGTGGTGCATCCGTTCCAAGATGGGCGTAGTGAGGGGGGTGATATTGGATGAATCAGTACTCTTGGCTGAAAATGATAATGATAAAACTGTATCTTTACTGAGGCCAGGAGTGGAGTTTCTCATCCGAACACTCTTCCTTTCCAGAACCCATTGTGGAATTGCTTATGGTGTGGGCCTTCCAGAAGACAAGGTTAGTATTCTTAAAAGAACTGCTGATTTGTACTCACTAGATTGCTTTACCGTAAATGAGGTTATGCCTGGATGGAGTAATACTAATGATGGCAGTATTGTTTATCTGGTTTCTAATAAGGAGTTCTTACCTAAATTAAGCAGCTATAATTGGCTTATTGTTGTTCTGAATGTTGGAGGTGAAAGTTTATGTCACAATCCAAATATGCTTCAGATAGAAAACTTAGAAGAGTTGCCACTGACCATATGTCAGTTAAATAAAAGAACAAATGGAACCAATGCTGTGACTGTGGGTTATATAATGAAGCCTTCCCGCGTGGAAGATTTTGCAAAGAGAGGTGCATTTCCTTTGTGTCCTACACAAAATGGATTGATGTTCATGCCTCTCACGTCCAAGCTGCCTTTATCATCTCAATTAAAGGATGTTGACATAGTTCTCCACAAAGCCACCGATGAAATATTATCTATTGAAGATAATAAACTTACTTTTACTCAGAACATGCAAGCATTGCAAAGATATTTGGATCAACACCAGGATTTGTGTGTGGTTGATCCACTGAGTAATATTTATCCATTATTGGATAGGCTAGAAATTCAACAAGTTCTACTTGGCTTGGTAGAACTAAACACTGAAGGCAGATATTTGATCAGAGGGGCCCATTTTCTTAAGGTTGATAGCTTTGATGGTTTTGATTTTGCAACTGGAATATCAGAAGCTAGATTGTCTCTTCCATGTATAGTGAAACCGAAAGTTGCTTGTGGTGTCAGTGATGCACATAAGATGGCAATTGTTTTCAGAGTTGAAGATTTTAAGAGTTTAAATGTTCCTCTTCCAGCTGTTATTCAGGAATATGTGGATCATTCATCCACTTTGTACAAATTTTATGTCTTGGGTGAAAAGATTTTCTATGCTGTCAAGAAGTCAATACCAAATGCTAATATTTTGATAAAATTATCCAACGGAGATGAGCTTAAACCTCTACTGTTTGATAGCTTAAAATCTTTGCCAACCGCTGACAGCATCAAGGGTTCTGGTGCTAGTGACCATGGTATCACAAGGAATGAGTCTATTGACCTTAAGCTGGTTACAGATGCTGCAAATTGGCTAAGGAGAAAGCTTCATCTTACCATCTTCGGTTTTGATGTTGTAATTCAGGAAGGTACTCATGACCATGTAATTGTGGATGTAAACTATCTCCCATCATTTAAGGAAGTACCTGATGACATCTCTATCCCTGCCTTCTGGGAGGCCATTAGAAATAAGTTTGACTGTAGAATTTCTAAATAAGCATTTGTTTGAACTTTGTGGTGGTTTGACAAGGAATAATGCCAATGATTGCATCAGATCATGGATCAGGCACTCGATCATATCAAGCCAAAAATGAGATTGAACAACTCATTATTGCATACTTGAGGTTTGAAATACTTAACACTTGTTATCAAAATGCAATTTAGTGTAATGTTTCTTCTGCTATTTGACGTTATATTACTTCGCAAGAAATTTTTATCAGCAGCAGTCTTAACTGTTAACGTGTGGTATAGTTTGCACATAACTATGCCTTTTAAGCATGTAGTCAAAGGTTCATTCTTCATATTCTTATGTATGTAATTGCATCTGTTTGGAGATATCAACGTATTAAATAAATTTTAGTATTTCGAGAGTTTAGTCTTTTACTGTCAAATAGGGGGGATATCTGGGTTCACTCAAAAAAACTGTTAACATGTACTAGATTCTGTGGGTTAAATTAAAAATGCACTTCTCTTTATAAAATCTCTCTCTAACATATGAGGACGGTCATTTTGGATAAATTTTTCCAAAAATATTTCTAGGATAAAAATAGGAATGAAAATTGAAATAAACTCTTCAAAAGATAAAATTAGTTTATACATGAATTAAAAATAAGATTAGGAGAGAGTTCCTATAAATTAACTTATGAAGAAATTTGTTTATTTATTTATTTTTAATTTTCTTTCTTAAAAGTGTTTATAAAGAAATTTATCTAATTAGACGAGGCATAAAATTGAAGAAATGATTCCATCTTATCTGAGCACTGCTAGTGTATAAATGTATAGACAGTCTACATCAACATAGGCTACAAATTTTAGGACAAAAATAAATTTCTTCATAAGCACCTAACATTTCAATAATGGCTTGCTTCTGCATAAATGACTATCTAGAAGGACTGCTATAGACAAGTTCTGTTTCTTCATGAATTTCTCCTTGTTCCATGGGGCTGAAACTCACCCGTTTCTGAAAAGAAAAAATCATATAAAGAACATTAACATGATTCCCTGAAGAGTTACATATGAAGTATGTAGCATATGTGAATTAAGATGCAATTATGCAATTTGAACGAGCCTTTCATGGAAAGTGAAACGAATTACTAGGAAACTACAAATATCATAGGCTAATTATGACCGACATCGAAATTCTACTTTTGTTTCTTGTCAACTTGGGTTTCGATGTCACTTAATAATGTCTACAACACGTTTTGTTCAGGTGCCACAACTAGTAAACGAGGAATAATTATATCTAGTGTTCAAGCTACATTTCGTTGCTGACACACCGACAATGTTGACGTTTTCAGTTTTCACATAGTTGCTGCTACTCATGCATTGTGGCAGACAAGGACGCAAAAGGGGTTGCCAAGTGTTAAAATCAAAAGCTTTCTAGAGTAGAACACTAACAGAACTTCAAGGTAGAATTGACAAAATATAAAACACTTGTTTTAAAATGTATTGTACGAAGTGTCGTATTTTAAATTAGCGTGTATGTACACTTATTTTTAACGAAATTATTTACCTATAATCATTTCTAGAAATAGAATGGTTAAAAGGTATTTTACTTTTAATAAAGGTAATTATTCAAAAAATAGGTAGAAATAATTATAATAATTGTCAATATATGCTCTATTGCAGTTATTCATTTGTTAAAAGAAATTATTTGAAAAAGGTAATTTAAAACAACATGCTCTAATATAGTGTACCACTATGATTTAATTTGAAAAAATGTAATTAACATGCACCGACTTTAGATGCGATCCTACGCTTGACTTCTGCCTATATATTCTCCATCTATGGATGGTCTTTCGATTTGGTCCATAAATGAATGAGAACTAAGAATACGGCGAGGCATGTTACTTGCCTTGTTAGCTAGCTTCAGAAGAAACCTCATAACGACCAAACCAAAAATAAAAATATATATATAGGTAAACTTCTTTTAAAATATTATGAGAAAAAAGGAAATTAAAATTTTCATAAATTAGAATTAGTTTATGCATAAGTCAATTTATAAAAAAAAAAAAAAAAAAAAAAA